CATTATTTTTTATAACAATTTTATTCAACAGATTTTGGCTTTTTATTCTAATCAAGAGTCATCTGAGAACAGACTGTGTTCTTTATCAAATGTGTGTGTTTGTTCAAAATTTACCAACTGGCTAGGTATTGATCAGATTGCCCAACCAAAATGTTTCTACATTTATTTCCATCCCAAATTCCTTTCTGCCCTAGCCTTTTTGAAGACTGCAAACGAGTGATACTTTGTGTTAATTTCTTATTGAATATTAACATAGACCTTTTCTATCTTTACTTTTTGCATGAAAGTTAACTTATTTCTAGGTTTTCTTAATTCCAGTTTGTCAAGTGGGATTTGCACAAGTACCGCTCTGCTCTCAAGAACACTGTTAGCCCCACCCGAGCTTCACAGCAAAGGCACTAGACTAAATTCATGGTTGCTTTACATTCAGGTCCTTCTAAGTACCTAGCTGAAGCTATTATGGGTTAGATTTGAGGCATGTTATGGTAAAAGAAAAGACAGTGAGTTTCATGAAATTTTGGTCTGTCCCGTCTTCCTTCCCCCTCTACTTAGATGTTATTTCTAACAGTGTTGGGAGCATTTTTCATTTGTGTGCAGTCAGAGTGTGGTGTTTGGGGTTTTCTTTAGGTTTTTTTTGTTTGTTTGTTTGTTTATTTTAGTAGTATATGTGTGTATATACCCTCCTCCTTTTTCAGCTTTAAGACTGACTGGCAAAAACAAAGACTAAAATCAAAACTGTAATAAGAAAAAAATGACCCAAACTATTGAGGAACTGTTAAAATTAAATTATTAAAGGAAGATTTGCATTGCATCTAATATAAAAATAAGTAAGTATGAAATTTAGGACACCTGAATTCTTCAAGGTCATTCAAAAAAGTAATGGCCTAATTTGAGTTACTTCAATTAATCCAGTACTCACATGGCTTACAATTTTTCTTTGCTTAGTGAAAGCTAAGGTCCCTAAAATAAAAAAAAAAAAAAAAAGAAGAATGCTAACAAAATACATTTCTATTTTTAATGTTAATAAACCCTAGTGTTCAAATTAGTCTTTGTAGATCAATGGTATTTTTTCCAAAGGATGATAGAGGAAAGAAAAATACGAGTCTCACAGTCCAGAGTTCTGCTTTGCCACTTGAAGCCGTTCAAAGGCCTACTGAGGAAAAATACAGCTTTACAGAGAAGCCCCATAACAAACATAATATAGTTCTTGCCTTTGTTGAGAAGCTGTCCTATGAAAACTTAATTGAACACTGATTGCCTCTGTTTTGTCTCTGGCTGAATATAATGACATGATTTCATTTGTTTTAAAAACCCCACACATTTCTTACTGATTGTCGTAAATGAATTTTTACAAGCTCAAATGCATCAGTACATTGATACTTTATAATAATGAAAATGAAATAAAATGGATTTTGACTGCAGGAAGTTAAGTTTAGGTATAGCACAACTTTTTACGCTGGATTTACTGAAAAATATCTTATTTACACATAGGGGTGTTTATATTACTGGTCTGTATAGACAATTCATAACCATATGATTCTTCACATGTTGCTTTCCACTACAGTACAATTATTATATTGAAATATGAGAAACCAAATCCATGCTTTGCTGAGTTAATACATACTTGAAGTAAATGGCCTCTTTTTAAAACATTGGCAAGTTCTGTTACATTTAGTTTTCCACCTCTGGCAGCCACACGAATGCCTGCCTCAGGAAACACATATGGACGCTATCATTATCTCCTGCAAGTGTCACTGATGTTTACATTCCTTTTTTTTTTGTTTGTTTTTGACTAATTGAGAAATTAAGGAGGTATCTGAGGTAAACTCTCAGGCAGAAAACAGTTGATACTCAGTGCTGTGCCCCACCAGCCATTTTGTGGCCTCTTTTGTGACTTCCTGCCTAGAAGCTTCACAAGAAATAGAGGGTTGCTGCGCTGAGCTCAGGGGCTCTCCGCCTCTCTTTCGCATAGGGATGGAGAACACATTCATTTCCTATCTACAGGAAAGTAGAATCAGTGATAAATTCACAGTATGTTAATCCTAAAGGACTAATCAGCAGATAAAGCACACCTAGAGATAGCATATACAGCCTTGCACATTAACATGTTCAGGCAACAGATGTCTAGACCATGCTGTACCTACTATATGCAGTACATAAGTGAGGGTTCATGTAGTGGCATACTCTTTGCTTCCCTGGGAAAACATTCTGCCAGCTTACATATAAGGTTTCTATTCTTTCTGTGTTTCTGAACATGGATCTGAACGGTGCTGGTTTCATAAGATTTCAATGGGAGCTATGAACCTTCTCCTGCAAAGAAAGTGGCAGATATGTTGCCTCTGGGAAATATTTCTCCAGATGCTCCTTGCTTGGTCGTGCTGGTGGTGAGTGTATGGCAGTGAGAGGAGCACATGAACTCATTCAGTCAGATTATGCTATTTTCACAAAGCTTTTTTAATTCACCATCACAACTGTTTGCTATGTTCAGCTCATCTGGAAAACAGTTACTGAACAAGAATTTCTTGCCCAATTGCAGTGAATATCCTGTGTGAGGAAGACCCAGAGAAAGAAACCTAGACATAGAATCATAGAATCACAGAATCGCTTAGGTTTGAAAAGACCTTTAAGTTCATCGAGTCCAACCATTAACCTAGCACTGCCAAGTCCACCACTAAACCGTGTCCCCAAGCACCATGTCTACATGTTTTTTAAATACCTCCAGGGATGGGGACTCGACCACTTCCCTGGGCAGCCTGTTCCAATGCTTGACAACCCTTTAGGTGAAGAAATTTTTCCTAATGTCCAATCTAAACCTCCCCTGGCAGAACTGGAGGCCATTTCCTCTTGTCCTATAGCCCAATACCTGGGAGAAGAGACTGACCCCCACCTTGCTACAGTCTCCTTTCAGGCAGTTGTAGAGAGTGATAAGGTCTCCCTTCAGCCTCTTCTCCAGACTAAACAATTCCAGTTTCCTCAGCTGCTCCTCAGAAGACTTGTGCTCCAGACCCCTCACCAGCTTTGTTGCCCTTCTTTGGACACGCTCCAGCAAGGCAACGTCTTTCTTGTAGTGAGGGGCTCAAAACTGAACACAGTATTCAAGGTGCATCCTCACCAGTGCCAAGTACAGGGGGATGATCACTTCCCTACTCCTGCTGGCCACACTATTCCTGATACAAGCCAGGATGCTGTTGGCCCTCTTGGCCACCTGGGCACACTGCCAGCTCATATTCAGTCGGCTGTTGACCAACACCCCCAGGTCCTCTTCTGCTGGGCAGCTTTCCAGACACTCTTCCCCAAGCCTGCAGTGTTGCATGGGGTTGTTGTGAACCAAGTGCAAGACCCAGCACTTAGCACTGTTAAACGTCATACAGTTGGCCTTGGCCCATTGATCCAGCCTGTCCAGATGCCTCTGCAGAGCCCTCCTCCCCTCGAGCAGATCGACACTCCTGCCCAACTTGGTGTCGTCTGCAAACTTATGGAGCATGCATTCGATCCCCTCATCCAGATCATTGATAAAGAAATTAAACAGAACTAGCACCAAAACTGAGCCCTGAGGAACACCGCTTGTGACCAGCTGGAGTTAACTCCATTCACCACAACTTTTTGGGCCAGGCCAGCCAGCCAGGTTTTTACCCAGCAAAGCGTGCACTTCCTTTGGGATCTCTGCTATTCTAATGGATCCCCACTTGGCATTTCTAAGTTGTGGGGAGAATGAGCTGAGAATACCTACCATATCAGAGCCTTTTCCAAGGATAAATGTAAGGATCCTCCTCATTATTTGATTTGAAAGCCGTATCATATCTACATTAGGGGAAGAAACTATTTTTTAACTTGAAAGTTTCAGTGAACTTGTAGATGTTCCTCTTTTCTTCATATTAAAATGACAACTATCTTCTCCAACCTGGATTTGAGAAGTGTCAGTTAACACCTAGTCTCTCACACATCCTACTTCCCTAGCGTAGACAAGGTGTTACTTAGACAAAGTAACAGAGACTGGATTGCAAATGCCTGTTAAACACTGAGTAACGTGGGAGGTCTACAGATAAAAGCATCTTGCAGTTTGGAGCATATTGTGATAAAATGACTCAGGGGGAAGGAAACAAAACAGGGAGATTTCTTACTTCCAGCTCCCTCAGGACCCCTGCAGCACAGGTCTGCTGTGAATTGGGGTCGGTGCTGGCAGCATTCAGCACTTTGTGATGGGAAGGCGGGCAGCAGCCCAGGACCCAGCAGAGTCTGATGTGAAATGCAACCAGAAATGGTACCCTCTGGCAGTGCCTGTGCATCAGCAGATCAGAGCTAAAACCCACATCTGGGGAAAACCTTCACTGCCACATTGTTTCTGTTCAACAGACAGGGACTTCAGTGTCTGCTCATACAGGATCTTCTAAACTGCAGTTATGTAAAAAGTCCTTTAGTGTTATGAACTTCCTTTGACTTCCTGTAGCAATCCCAAATTGGCATACCTACTACTACTTTTAGCTAAAATAATTAGTTCTGATAACTTGAGAAGTGATGCTGATTTAGGCTGTTTGCTTATTAACACTGAAAGCCCCTTTGGCCCTCAAAAACATGAGATTAAAAAAAAAAAATCTTCAAGTGTGACAAAAAGTCAAATTTACAAGCAAATTACTTAAAAAAATTGTTCTAGCTGAAATGTATCGTTCTGATGCTAGGCTGTTTAACCCTTCTTAGCATAAATAACATTGGGGAATGACAAACAAAAATTCCAAAGAGAACAAATTAAAGCTGACAATTTGATTAAACTGGTGCTTTCTCAAGAGGCATTTCACTTCCAATGAATTAAAGATTTCTGGAAAAAAAGAAAAAAGTGGTTTGGTCTTTTTTTTTTATTTAATTAAAATCCCTGGCTGGTGCTTCATTTATGCTTCTGAAGCTTTATAACAGAAATAAGAAAACTTTTTCTCTCTCACTGCCTTTTCATATGTTCATGTTATATCATCTTTGTTTATAACAACACTTTTTTCTTACTATTTTAGGCAATGAAAGCCTAGAAGAAAACTATGTGCAGGACAGTAAAATGGGATTTGTCATCAATGCTATATATGCTATGGCTCATGGGCTCCAAAATATGCATCATTCCCTTTGCCCTGGACATGTTGGGCTGTGTGATGCTATGAAGCCAATTGATGGCAGCAAGCTCCTGGAGTTCCTCCTGAAATCCTCGTTCATTGGTATTTCTGGAGAAGAAGTTTGGTTTGATGAAAAGGGAGATGCTCCTGGAAGGTAAAGGCATGTTTCATCTCAGCTAATTAAACCAGAAGTTGGGTAGGGGAAGTTTTGCTGGGGTTGGTGATGGAGATTTCTTTGGCTGTTTTGCTGAAGCATACAGAATGCAAGCTGTGAGACATAAATGGAGTTACCTGGATTAGTCTTACAGATAACGAAGAATAACCCTGGTAATACATGATGTATCGATAGCTACAGCTCCAAATGAGGCAGGAACTACAGTACAGCCTGTAACATTTCTAGTGTTTCAGGAGAGGACAAACCTTGTATCTCATAGACTTCTGGTGTCTGAGTTACCACTGGGGATCACCACCAGGTTTTTAATAGGTATAAAGCCTAGTACAAGTGCTTGGAAATTAATCAAGTATTTGCTTGCTAAGATTTTGAAGGTAGGTCTGTAGAGCACATCCTTTTCCAACTGGATCTCTGCTGCTCCAAGCGCTCCCGGGATGTATCACTGTATCCTTGCCATAGACTATTTATTTCTGCTTGGTGAACTCCTATGTGCACTCTAACTTGTTTCACTCCAAATAAGTTCAGCTGTTCCAGAGTTTGAAGAGAGGTTCAAGTAGAACAGGGAAAATGATTTTTTTTTTTTGCCAAAAGGTACTGTCTTTCACTCATTTGGGGTCTGGTAAATTCCAGCTGTGGTAGCTGCTACTGTGTACCCCTCCTTAGCAGGCAGGGTGTGTAACTGAGCAATGGGTGAGACAGCAACTTTGTGGACTTGGACATCACCTTTTTTTGTCTTACAGAACCAGCTGACAGAAATCTTTTCCTCTTCATTTAGTTCTGTGCGCTCTGTCCAACTATTTTAAGTGACACATCTCCCAGACAGGTTTATTTTTGAGGATTTTTTTTGTAAATAAGTTTAATTGAGCTGCTGCAGTACCCTATCCATTATTAACTGAAACCTACTCAGGGGTTACTTCACTGAAGTTAGTTTTCCTACTGAGTTATTAAAGTGTTATAAAAGACTCTCTCACTCCATCTTTGGGCTTATTGCATAAATGCATCTGAGTGCCAACACTCCACAGAGAGAGTGCTCTGGAATAAACAGGCATTTACAGCCTGGCATGTACGTTCAAAGAGTATTTGTAAGACACAGTGGCCTTAAAGCAGCTCTTATTTCTGTTACTAGCCTTTATTAGCAAAACTGACCAACATTTTACCATTTGCTATTTGCATTGCTTGTTCTATTTAAACAGAACATACATTGAAACAGCTCTTTACATTTAAATGGTAAGAAAAAAGCCGGTCAGTTTGGTCTTCTCATTAAGCTCTGTATATTTTAGATTTTTTTTTAGTCAAAGATATAGACAAGCTAGGTCAGACTTCGAAAGTAGAGGCAAACAATTCCCTTACAGTCAAACACATACTTATTGACACAAACGCATAAATCAAATCTTTGTACATAGCATTTAGATAATACAGAGCAATTACTGCTTCGTATAGCTTTAAGTTTATTACACACTATTTATCTGCCTAAAAGCATTACTCCAGCTTTGCATATGCTGCATTGTCTGCCTGTTAGTTATTTGGTTTGATGTTTAGGTGTAGTTTTCCAATTTTAGCCCAAATATTTTTTATTGTCTTGTCACCTGAGAGCACGTCCACAACTCCCATCAGTACCAAGCATAGAATTAGAACGAACAGTTCCTGAACTGAAAATATAGGTGGGTTTATATCAGGACATTTCTCTGAGTAGGTTAGGATGATAGAATTTATTCCATCCATCACTTTGGTTAAGCAAGGTCCATTTCTCTTGATTCCCTGGCCTATTTAGAATTTGATGGGCTATTTTAGGTAGGGGTTTTTTTGTTGTTCCTCATTTATATTTTCACAGCTGGTGTTGGCAAGCTTGGGCAAGAAAGTTCAATTAACCTTTTTTTTTATCCGTGCTGTAATCCTTGTATCAGTCTGTGGCATTCATGACATGGGCAATATCATATCAGAGAATGGTAATGTGCATATGAAACGTGATCTGTACAGTCTGTTGGATCTTTGCATGCCAGCAGTAGTTTATGCCCATGCAGAATTGTATTTAGCTCCAGATTAGCCCTAGTGTTTCCACAGCTTCACATGGAAAAGCTCTTCATGGATGAGTGCATGTACCACACCACTGTATCAATACCCAAAAGACCTTTTGTACCCCAGCAGAATGAAAAGATAAACACCACACACAACACCTAAATACAGCAAAGAGAGCCAGGTCTCTTAGGTTTTATAGCTTTTCTATGCCAGTGCAAGAATGCCACACAGATATGTAAAAAGTTTTTTGGTATTATGTTACCATACCATGTGAACAAATTAACTTCACAAGATGGAATGAATCAATATTCCTTCTTAGAAGGCATCAACTTTCCTCATACTTTATTTTCAAAATCTGTGAGGTTCCTTGAAGAATTGACTCTCAGAAACTCCTAGTTACAATCATCATGGGTAGAGCAGGTAGAGAAGCCTGTAGTTATGTTTGCCTGACGCATAATTTCCTGTTTTGAACCCCTTACAGCTTCATCAGACCTTAACCATTTGTTTAGATATGACTCCTTTTCTCAGACTCAATTCATGGTTTCAAGCTCTTGTCAAAATGAGATTAGAAAACATGAAGCACTTTCTCAAAGATTTATTTCTTCTGTGCAGAATCTTTTCTTTGAAGAGCTTTTATGCAGAAATGTGAAGCAGAGCTTTATCAGAAGGGCACAAATGCAGTCACTTAGCTGACTGCACTGCCTCCAGGAACAATGATATGGATGTAGCTCTGCATCTCAACATCTTTATGTGCTCGCTATACTGTCGTTAAGAACATGCTGGTAAAATTGCTGAACTTTTTTAGTTTCATTGAGTACCTCCCGTCTCCTTTCTCAACTTATCCTTACTCAAAGCAGAAGTTTTTCATTAAGGAAAAGAAGAAAAGGATAAAGAAGTTATGCACGTCTCCATATACCAAGTGTGTTTGTTAGACCACATTTCTCCACTTAAAATTCATGCTGCATATCAAAGCTGTAAACATTGTATTACAACTTGTCATATGCAAGACTGTGTAAGAGCTTTCAGTCTGCATACTTTATTCTTTGACAGATAACTGATAGAAAAGGGAACAGTATTACAAGAAAACAGGAATGGCTTTCAACCTAAAATCATATCCCTGAAATTGCCAACTCCTGATTGATATTGCATTAATGCCACTCTGTGCCTTGTAATATATTTTTGCAAGAATGAAAACAATCTGTGCAGGTTCAAAAATTCCATTAAGGGAATGTGAGGTTTCAGCAATCTTTTATTCCCCTTCCTGAATTCATTTTCCAGCCCAGAGTAACTGATTTTGTATCAGTCTAACACAAGGTCACACTAAAATCCAAGTTGGTTCTTCTTGCTAGGAAGAGACGTATACTTTCCTGCTTAATTTTACTCTTCTCTGTTGAGTCTACATTACAAAGTACCCTGCTCTTATTGCTTCTTGCTATCCTGATTCTTCACAATCCTGAAAGAGAATTCCTTTTTCTATGTTCTTCCATTGCAAGAACTGAGATATGAGAAGGAATTGTTGCACTTCTTTAAATCATCTTTAACTAGAGAGATCCCAAAGACTCAATTAAGAATAACAAACATCTAGAGAGTAATTCTAGCACCTCTTTCCTCCATGAAGTGCAGTAAGAGTTGAAATTCTGCATGTTTGAGCCTCAGAAGGGAAAAGAAAGAAATGGATACATCTCTCTCTTTGCCCACAACCAAGCATCCCAGTTTTATTTATGGGTGATACTTTGCTTACCTTTCATTCCTAAAGCACATACATATTAGCATCACTCATTATAAACAAAAGATTTTTTTTTTTCCCCAGAGACTGAGACAATCCAGTTTAGAAAAACATGGCAGTAACTCCTGGGCTTGGAAAACAGAACATGCTTTGTGATTTTCAGCTCCAGTGCTGATTTCTGTTTCTCATCCCTTTTTCTCTTGTCCTTTTTGGAACAAAGCCCTCCCCCTTCTCTCCTTAGGAAGCCAGGATGTAGGTCCAGCCTCTTTTGTGGTTCTTCCTCTCTGTGTACTCTCCAATAGTCATTCTCCCATTCTTGCTTGTTTCCTACTAAGAAATCACCACAGTTGATCACTGCTTTGCACAAGCCACATTCCGCAGGTTAAAGAAGGAACAGAATAATTAGCAGTAAGGGATGGCACACATCAGGTCCAACACATGGAAGGCAATGATGGAAACAAGGAAGCTGAATGTTTATGGTAGCAATGTTTTATGCTTCCTTTACATTAGCCTTGGGAAGTTCTCTCCTACTTGCCTAGGGTGAAGGAGTAAAATTTGTGCCTGAGCTGCTAACTATTCCTGACTGTCTCACTGGGCTGGGTAATATAAATAGTTGAACTAGTGCTTACAGTTAATTTATGACATACCAGTCCAGTTAGTCTGAGCAAGCATTTCTACTGATTTCTTTAGTGCTCCCAGCAGGGGTTATACTGCAACCCACCTGTATGTAGGCACCAAGCAAATGTTAGAGACATCTTGAAAAATGGCTGAAAAAACCCACTATCCGGACAGTGCCTACATGTCCATCTTTAGCAGAGCTTGCTGTCTGTGATGTGCAGTTCTTCCTGGACGCACTACAACTTTTTACCCACAGTTTTGTGCAAGCAGGGCAGGCAATTGGTAATTGTGTGGCAATCAGAGCTGTCATTTCCCATGATTCTGCTGCAAATCCTACAGTAGTTGGTGTTTCTGTGAGACTCTAGTCCCTGGCATTAAGGGATGACATGAATATTTATGGAGGCAGAAGGAGAAGGGCAAGGTAAATTTTTATCCTTCATGTTTCAGGACAGTGACCCACTTTATCTTTTTTCCTTTGCAGGTATGACATCATGAACCTGCAGTACATAGAGCCCAACCGCTATGATTATGTCCTCATTGGGACCTGGCATGAGGGCGTGCTCAACATTGATGACTACAGGATTCAGATGAATAAGAGTGGAATGGTCCGATCGGTGTGCAGTGAGCCTTGCTTGAAGGGCCAGATTAAGGTGTGCCTTAGACACTTACTTTCTGCTACAGAAGTGTGAATAACGAGTCAGGGTTTTTTTCCTAAACGCAAGCAAGCTTCTTTCAAGCCAAGGGATAGGGCGTACTTTCCTTCAGGAAAGCCAAAAGTATAGAAAGACTCCTAGATTAACATCTTACACTTACAACCCCATAAACAGGCCCATGTTTTCTAAAATTGCCCTTTGTAGTGATGTAGAATCTTCTAGTGTGACAGGATTTGAATTTCACCTTATGCGAGAAAGAACAAGATTTTCACTTAGTCATTGCCTACAACATTCAGTGGCTGTGATTCACTTGGGGGCTGATTCTGAAAGTAACGTGACCCATGGGAATCCAGTATGTTGTTCCAGCAATAACACCTGCAAGAAAAAGGGGGGAAAAAAAAAAAAAAAGCCTATTTGTATTTCATGTTCACAACAGGAGGTATGGAAAGACAAATGAAATCACTCTGTTTACAAAACAGTAGCTTTTGTATCAAGCTACAAATAATTTGCCACCTGCCATGTATGTAAGACATAAAGACATGTTCCACCCCTATCAAAATGGTATGGATGCAGTAAGTTTAAAATGGCAAGAAGCCATTCAGGAAAATCACCTTAGAGCAGACCTTCGTTTCTAATTTCATTTAATAAGCACATTTGCAGGTTTTTAATTCTATATTGCTACTCTAAGCAATAAGTGATTGATGATTTGGCAAAGGCATAGTGACATACTCCAACAGTCTTGGAGGGGAAACATTATCGGTATTTACTACCCTCCAAAACATCTTTTCCCTGTTTTTGAGATTGTGCAGTTTGTGTATGTGTGTATATGTAAACACCATGCATACAAAATGCCAGCTTCGGCTCCCATTGAAGTCTATTGGACTCTCTCCACAGACTGCAGGAGGAAATGTTAACAAAAAAAGCCCACAAAGCCAGCATTCAATAAAACAAACATTTTGTATTTCACTACTGCACTTAGCTCTGCATATAGATGGATAGGAAGATCCTGGAGAGAAGGCTGTTTTCTTCCATTCTGGCAAACAGAGCCAGAATCTTTACTGGAGCCCCATGAGCTGGAGATAACTTTAATCTTTCTTTCAGCCTCAGCGTAATGAAACTAGGAGTCATGATGAGGAAAACATCTTTTCAGCATTGGATCATTACATGTAGCAGCCTTCACAGCACAGAAAGATACAGCTTCCAGGGACATTTGTCTCCAAAAGAGCCATTCCAAAGCACGCTCTTGGTCACTGCATATTGGTTTAATTTTCTTCTAGGGCACATTACATCCTTTTAGCAGTATATTTTTTCATTTGCTATTATTTGAATTTCTATTTACACTAGTGTAATGAGCCCCAAAGAGACTTCTATGTAAATTGGAATTTAAGTGTGTATGCACGTGCCTGTGTGTGTATATAGATATATATATATGCATGAATCACTCTTTATTCTAACCTTTGCCTTTGTTTACTGCTTTTTACTATGCAATAGATATTAAGCGTGGGCTGAGCTACTTGTCCTGACCTGAACCGTCTCTCAGATTAAGCCTCTTCTCAAGTTTGACTGAAAATATAACTCGCCATGCCTCTGTACCAAAGGGAAAATGGTTTTCTACTTTAACTCAGAACTGCTCCCTCCAAAACAAAATAGAATTGTCCCCAGAGATTATCCTTGAGCTCCTAAGCACAAAATTTAATACACAAGGGTAGGAACAGAATCAGGATTCATGTCTCCTAGTTGTTTGAAATGTGCTGTACACAGGAATCCTGTCATATTTTAAACAGCGCACGTGGTAGCTGTTTACTGGGGGTGCTTCTGTGTTGCCATTATAGAGGATCATAGCTGAGGATGTATTTTGCATTACAGGTGATCAGGAAAGGAGAAGTGAGTTGCTGCTGGATTTGCACTGCTTGCAAGGAGAATGAATTTGTTCAGGATGAATTCACATGTAAAGCCTGTGAGCTTGGCTGGTGGCCGAATCCTGACCTGACAGGTAGGGACGTGTCCCTCCAAACACACTCCCATCTTACAGGGCACAAGCAAAATGGTGTGTGGTGGACAGTAAGGTGGCAGCATGCAGAGATAGTAAAGGTACATACTTAAACACACATGCCAGTGAAGTTTAGGGTGAGCGAAAAGTGCTGTATCTTTTGGCTCAGTTCGAAAGCAGCGACAATAAAGATGGCAAAATTTCTACCAAGAAGAGATGACATAGCCTGTCTGTTCCTCCCCTTCAGTTAGCATAAGCTTTGATAAAGCTGTTAAGACTGCTAATGAACTTAGCAGCATTTGCTGCAATTTTAGCAGTGATTATCACAAGAGCTCAGTGCATCCTTGTCAGATTGACTTGATACTCTTTCTGATCGTTCTACCATGCAATTAGTAATACTTCATCTGGGATTTCAGGCCATTCAGTAACTGACTACCAGACTTCTTTTTGGTATAAAGATCATTCTCACTGTGCCCACCAGCAAGAGGAATGTCAACAAAATCCTAAGAAAGGCTGGCAGAAGAAAGGGAAACAGCTAGAATTGGTATCCCCTCTGTATATGCTTTGGATGAGTTGCATGCTATGGCATCTTTCTGTTATTTTGTACCTATCAGGGTCAACCTCCACACCTGCTCTGGGCTTTGCAGTAGCCATTACCCCAAGAAAATAGACTTAATGCACTGCGAAGCACCACCTTGACCTTGGGGTTTGCTCTGTATCACTGTAAAAGACTACTGGCACCTCTGCCCCATGCTGCATCTGTAAATCTTGACTGCCAGTATTCAGCAGAGCATCATTGCTAGGCAGAGAAACCATCTGACTACCTTGCTAAAGATCAAATGTTCAACTTATCACATCTTTGTCCCTTAATATGACTAGCTAGCAACTAGATGTTGCTGCAGCATTTAACACATAGATGAAGTACTCAAACCTTGATTAAATAGTTCTAAGAGATACTGTTAAGCTAGTCACTGAAGGCAAGTGAGCTTTCAGAGCATTTACTTTGAGAGGGAAAGCTTGCCACTTCTCCAGCTAAAAATATATTATTAATCACAGTAAACTGGGAAACTTGACCCATTGTCAGTCTTGGTTTTCTACAGAAAATAAGATATGGTCATGTCCCAGATGTGTCTTTATCTGTCTATATCTCATACCTCTCACCCCACCCCCCTACCCCCTGTCTTTGGTGTGCAACTGAACCTACTTCAAACAGATTTGTAAGGATACGGAAATCCCAGTGATCATTCAGTTCCTCCAAGTTTCACGTAAGTGGGTTGTAGGAAGACGAGTTCTTGAGAAACACCTTCTGTAAGGGTCCTAGTTGTGGAAAAACCTTTTGTATTACTAGACACCAGAAAATCCGCAGCACCGTTCATAAACGTCCTGACCATTGGAAAAGCTCATATTCAACTCCCACCTCCTAGGACACAATTTTAAAGCAGTTATCCAGAGGAGAGCTACTAAAATGATCCAAGGGCTGGAGCACCTCTCTTATGAGGACAGGCTGAGAGAGTTGGGCTTGTTCAGCCTGGAGAAGAGAAGGCTGTGGGGAGACCTGATTGCGGCCTTTCAGTACTTAAAGGGGCCCTATAGGAAAGATGGGGAAAATCTTTTTAGTAGGGCCAGCTGTGACAGGACAAGGGGCAATGGTTTTAAACTGAAGCAGGGTAGGTTTAGACTGGATCTAAGGAAGAAATTCTTTACAATGAGGGTGATGAAACTGGAATGGGTTGCCCAGAGAGGTAGTGGAGGCCCCATCTCTGAAAACATTCAAGGCCAGGTTGGACGGGGCTCTGAGCAACCTGATCCAGTTAGCAGCGTCTCTGCTCACTGCAGGGGGGTTGTACTAGATGACCTCCAGGGGTCCCTTCCAACCCAAACCACTCTATGATTCTATGATTCTGTTAGTCTTGGAGGTTTGCAGAATTCTTTGTACCTACTATTCAGGGAAGAAAACTGGGACTTCTGTTTAATCAATAAGGCAGAACAAGAACATAGTGAGAGATCAATGTGCACTTGAACGAATATGGTTCAATGCTACCAGCTGCCCAAAATAGCTCAAAAGGGGGTACGTCAAAATGACAGGCACTGCTGAAAGGAGTTGAGTAAAGCATCAGTGCTGGAAAAAATCTCAGGGGCATGTTGCAATCTATTAACTTTTAATGAAATCAGTAGATGACCTGCTGATTTGTGTTTCTTCTCAGCAAGGAGACTGGACTGCTGCTGTTCTAAAATCACAGTAGCATCAGCCAAACGACAGCATAGCCATCGACTGATTTCCTAGAGTACATCAAAATGGCAGTTTGCTCCTGCACAGCTTCTTCATTATGTCTTCTTGAGGAAAAAACTTCCTTTTTTAACCCCCGCAATTCATTTACTTGAGTACCTGATGTACAAAGTACAAAGTTGTGAAGAGAAGCTAATGCTATCCTAACCTTTAGAAAAGGGAGATTGAGCTAGATAAACTCTGGCTCTTGAACTTTGTGGGAATCAGCACTGATACCATTTAATTTGGAACTCTCTTTACTTGCCAGGATTTCTCCCATCAAATGTGTTTTTATAGCTTTGCTTTTATGTGTTGTATTCATACCCTGCCAGTCATCATAGCATCTAGACACAGTCGTTAACATCTCACATTTCAGATTGTTTTTCCCTTTGCCTTAAAGCTTAAATGCTAAATATGTATGCAGTTTTAGTCCCATTTTCCATCACAGATGGAGCCTCTAAAATCCTTAGTCCCTGTAAGAAACATGAAGCACATACTAACCCATTTCCTAAGACGTGCTTTTCAAGGTGCTCATTCTTTCCGTTTGAAATCAGTCTCTGTTGCTCAGCAATCCTTTCCTGAAATTTTATTTTTAAATGTACAATTTTTTTTTTAGATTGCTTCCCCTAAATATGTGTTCAGTGAAGTGGAGTCAGGAGGCACAAAGGGTTTCTCACCACAGATGATAAAAATCTGACAAATAGTCACTAAACCCAGTATCTTAATGCCTTGTGCCAAGAAGAGATATCTTTTATAGTATCAGAATCTAATATAAGAAGAATGAATGTCAAGCTAGTAAACCCAGTTTACATAAGTCATCTTAAACAAGCAATAAATCAAGACAGAACAGGAAGTTTTATAGAGTTTTTTATGAAATGAATCATAAAGGTTTGGGGCCATCGGTTACCTGGGATGTGTTAACGACCTCAGAAAACATCCTGGATTGTCTTATTGGCCTTGCATATGAATATAATTTTCTTTTAGATTAAAAATTCAATTAGCCTTCTGCTCTAGGAAATGATTAATATTTAAAGTGCAGGGAAAATAGTAGATGAAAGCTACCAAACAGCTTTTTACTAGAAACTTTTAACTGTGAAGCTTTTTGCCACTAATTCTCTGAGTTTTTGAGGTTTGTGTTCGTTGTGATTTGGGGTGGGGGCTAGGGTGGGTGGATTTTTGTGTTGGCTTTTTTTTTCAAACCTGTAAGTACACCATTTCCTGGGTATCCTCCCCCAGCCTCAACAAGGTTCCCTAGCCCACTTTCTGGGAAATGACCCCCCTTCACAGATGTTGACAACCAACAACTGTTTGCTGATAGAAAGAAGTGCAGACAGGTTTTTTGCAATGTTTATAGCATATGTGACTCTCAGGGCTTGCTGGTGCTCAGAAATGACGCTCGTTTAATGAAACAGATTTCTATGTCCTTACACAGGATAAGCTTAAAGCAATCAATAGGCTTAACTACCATGCTGAAGCAGGGCTAAAATGCTGGCTGGAAGAACAGGTTTCCTAACCTGTGTCTCGAACAGACTGCTTTGAGCAAAACAGAGTTCCTTGTCTTTATAAAACACGACCTCCAGTAGCATATATTATAATTTCTATTGGTTTTGATGTTACAAGTACCTGTAATATCATCACCTGTAGTTAAGTAGACAGCATTACCTGTAGTTAAGTCAGCCCAATACTCTTAGAGACAGAGTACGGAATTATAGGACATTTTTTCAGTTCATATGGCATTGGCAGACATTACAAGTTCAAGCAGAACTTTTCCATGTCAGGGCTTTGCCTGAGGCTGATTTTTTTAAATTTTAACAAAAAACATTTTTTCTTCTATTTCTCAAAATGAGGTTACAGTAAAACTGTTCAACTCTGATCCATACCTCTGCTTACTTCTCCTATATTTGGAAGGAGGGACTTTACATTTTGGTAGAGGTATCAGTTGGTAATTTTGTGTCACCCTGAGGAAGATGCATGTAAACTGAGCAAAACTGTGGGCCTCAGAAGCTTTTAGTTCACAGAGGTTGGTTTCTGCAGATATATTCCATACTGAGGAGGAGGGGGCTGAGCATGACTTTTGCTCTTCACAATATCAGGGCCCTTGCTAAGACTTAGCAGCAAAACTGAGAGGAAATAAATGCCTCTCTTACAAGCTCACTGACAGCACTGTCTTTTCCCTGCTCTTCTCAGCTGCGTCCAACAACCCACACTGGCAGAGATGATGAGCAGCTGGTCCAGGATGTGAAAAGCTGGACCAGCAGTGTTCATAATGGAGATATTTGGGTGGAGAGGTGACTGGCTAGGAAGAAAAATGAACTGGAAGGGGAACTGAGACAGGGATGGTGAGGCACTGGGAGGAAAGATACTTGAGAGGTGGGGGAAAGACACAAAAGATTATTTGGGTCCAAGGGAAACTGGAGGGGGCCAGAAACAAGAAGTAGAAGAGGCCATGGATACTTACCTTGGGATACAGAAACATGTTAAAAGCATTTTGGCACTATTAAGCCAAGAACAGAAATTAAGAAACGCCACAATGAAGGCTTTCAGTAACTCAGCTTCACAACTGTAACATCCTATTAACACGGAGGATTTTACTTTCTTTGTAATGTTTATTGTTGGTATTACATCTTCAGCACAGTGAAGAAGGTAGCCAGAGACTCGTTTAACTTGAATGTGGGAGAGAGCAGTTAAGTACCATCTTAAACTGATACCTATGTTTGCACATCTGTGCTAGTCATAAAGGAGAGCCTTTCCAGTTATTTTTTGAAGGCACGCATATTTTCTGGGTTTGACTTTTCCATATGAATTAAATTACATTATTTAGTAGAAAATCTATGAACAGAATTTCGCAAAATGAGACTAAAGTATCGTTAAGAGAAAAAAAACCCCATAACTATAGTAAGAAGGTACAGTATCTATGGTGTAGTTCCATTATATCTTTGGATTTGTTACCTTTTTTCTGCTCATAGATCTCTAATTGATTTCTATTATTTATAAATCCCTTTCACAAAAACGTAGTGGGTCAAGTTAGAGTGATTTTGATAAAGATTAAAGTAAGTTAGTCTGAGGAGGTCAAAACGCTACCCATGCTGATTTGTAACACTGCTTTCCCTGCTGAAGTGAAGGGATGGTGCTGAGTTTGTTTGGGTCCTGTTCCCAGCTCTGCCTTTGATATGCTGGGCTTGTCAGCAGGTATCCCAAGAAAATTACAAAAAAAATTTCCAAATCTCATTTCCCTTTGTAGCGTCATGAGCAAATGTTTGGGACAGCCAGAACTGATGGCTGTTTTCTGAACATATTTCATCTAAACTTTTCCATGCTGCAGTTCTTTCCTTGGTAAAATGGTTTTAATAATCTATGGCACATAGTAATAAGCTAATGTTTGGAACATATTGGGAGCCAGAAAAAAAAAGTTCTTTCTTCACGCAGCTACCTTTCTAACACTCTGTTTCTTTTCTGTACACTGCAGGCTGTGAACCCATCCCTGTAAGGTACCTCCAGTGGAGCAATATAGAGTCTATTGTGGCTGTGGTGTTTTCCTGCCTGGGGATCCTGGTCACCATGTTTGTCACCCTTATATTTGTGCTCTACAGGGACACCCCTGTTGTCAAATCCTCCAGCCGGGAGCTCTGCTACATTATCCTTGCTGGCATCTTTCTGGGTTACGTCTGCCCTTTCACCCTTATAGCTAAACCCACCACAACATCCTGCTACCTCCAGCGCCTCCTGGTGGGCCTCTCCTCTGCCATGTGCTATTCTGCCCTTGTGACCAAAACCAACCGCATTGCACGCATCCTGGCAGGCAGCAAAAAGAAGATCTGCACCCGCAAGCCACGTTTCATGAGCGCATGGGCCCAAGTGGTCATTGCTTCCATTTTGATCAGCGTGCAGCTGACACTGGTGATCACGCTGATCATCCTGGAGCCCCCGATGCCCATCCTCTCCTACCCCAGCATTAAGGAAGTTTACCTTATCTGCAACACCAGCAACCTAGGTGTCGTGGCTCCTGTGGGCTACAATGGACTCCTCATCATGAGCTGCACCTACTATGCCTTCAAGACTCGCAATGTGCCTGCCAATTTCAATGAGGCCAAGTACATTGCATTCACCATGTACACCACTTGTATCATCTGGCTGGCCTTTGTGCCTATCTATTTCGGGAGCAACTACAAGATCATCACCACCTGTTTTGCAGTGAGCCTGAGTGTGACAGTGGCGCTGGGGTGCATGTTCACTCCTAAGATGTACATCATCATAGCCAAGCCTGAGAGGAATGTCCGCAGTGCCTTCACCACCTCAGATGTGGTGCGTATGCATGTCGGGGATGGCAAGGCACCTTGCAAGTCCAACACTTTCCTCAACATATTCCGGAGAAAGAAGCCAGGGGCTGGAAATCCAAAGTAAGTGATTGACTTCAGGTACACATCTATCTGTATATGTCCCTTTCTTTGCCATCCTCTCTTGGTTGACCGTAGTCTGCTGAATAGTAAGGTATGTAACAGTTTTTCATCTCATGTGTAGCAGAAAAGGTGGAAATGATCCTTTAGATCTAAGCCTCGGATGGACATTGACATGTTGCTTCTTATTTTCTCTCCTGCTCTAAAGGCAGCCCTGTACACAACTCCCTCTACCTCTTGTCAGGTCAGGCAGTGGCAGCATAACCAAGCTCCATTTGCAGCTTCTCCCATCTCTCTGTGCGTGTGATGGGGATCTCAGGCCCCTACATGCAGTTACTCTGTCTCATGTTCAAACTGAGATGCTATTGTAGCCTTTTGGGAAAGGGGACCAGAAATCTGTGTCTGAGTGGTTGTAAATCACATGTACTTGTTTAAGGCCACTGGGATGTGTGTGTGAGAGTCGGGGATTCAACATGAGTTTTGAAGGTAGTGTTTTGTGATGGTCCTCATGACTGTGATCCAAAAGCACCCTTCATACTATCCCTATGACCCATTTAATATTCAGAATTATGAGTAATACTCTTAATCATCATCAGTGTAAACTTGTCCATGTTCTCAAACCCAGTGTTAGTGTGAAAGTTGCAGAAGTCAACTGACAGTGAAAATGAGCTTGCATCCACATCTATTGAACCTGTTATTTTCCGTGCTAATAACTAAAAGCAACCCAGCTGCAGCAGAGGGGGAGAGAGAACTGTTACTTCAGACAGCATCTCCCTGTGAGTAGCTGTCTGAACATTTGCATTCTTTATTATCTTATTGCTTTTTAGTCTTTAAAGAAGCACCATAGGGCTAGACATGAGCTTAGATTGCTTTTGTCCCAATTAAAAAAAAATTATCAAAATAATAAGGAACCAGTGAAGTCTACATTTCTGAGCTTCCTGATAGAATTAAAATTCAGTTAATTTCCAGCTCTTTGGGATCTGTAGGTTTCTCTGAGTCACTCAAGTTGGTTTTGATTCAGTTTGCATAAGAACTGTTTTCATATGTCCTGGAGATGGAAGGGATAAGGATGGAGGTAATACTGTAGAAACCCCATGCTGTGATCAATTTTGCCTTTATGCTACTTCAATGCTTTTTATTTTGTTGCCAGACAGGGGGTTGGAAGAGAAGGGAATGGGAACATAAGTAACGCAGATATACAGCTCAGTGTGTGCCACAGAGGCACGATAAGACTGTCAGCTCCTGAGCTGGACAGAGAGGGAGCTGGGAGAGGCAGGCAGCCCTGGGGACCCCCCATGCAGGGAGACGGCCAAAAATCTCTGTAGCTCAAGAGCTTGAATTCCATGCAGATAGAAAGATGGAGCCTGATCCACCTTCCTCTGACTCTGTGGAAGTTGGATGGGGTCTTACACCTCTGTAAGAAACTAGTCTGGTGTCTCTGCAGTGTAGTCTCTGGCTAATGCTGCTGGCATCTTTAAGACAATATCTGTCAAAAAAAAGGACTATCGAGTATTTTAGATCATGAGAAACTTAGTAACTAATTCTTTGTTGTACTTACTGTTCTTCTACTTTCACCAAAAAAATTGTACTTTAGAAGACCCAATTGCAACATCTTTAGAACACAGTTTATAATATAAGAAAACATTTCATCCTGTTAAAAAAATGAGCTTCCTTCTCAGCATTATCACCTTAAAAAAAGCAACAGGGCTTACCTGAGCTTTTTAGCAATTTGTTTGTTGCATAATTTTGTTGCAAGATTTTCTTGATGTCCCTGTTGGGCCTGTGTGAGGGGTATGAAGCAAAAAAGCCCTACAGAGTTTTAAGGTGCTCTTCTAAAGTTAAAGCTCAACACCTAGTTAATACGCTTTTTTGTCTCAGGTCAAACCTCCACATCTTTTACACAGCAAAATCCCAACCTCTGACCTAAACCTCTTGTGCAGTTATTGCTACGTTCTGCACCTAAACCAGCACAGATGGGGAGGCAATACTAGGCTTGCTGCTGGAGAGGGACAGCAGACCTCTCTGTACCTGGGCATGAAGAATGGAAAGCAGTGTAGCATACAGACATGCAGCTTTGGAAATAAAGTGACAAGACAGCACAAAAAGTCATTTCAGGGCTTTGGAGGGGATTTTAGCTCCTAGCAGAGTCCATTGCAAAGCTTGTGAGGACGTTGCGCCAACACAGATAAAGAAGTGTGAATCACTGAGGAAACCAAGAAGGATAAAGTAGAATTTTCTGAAGCCTTTAAAGCACCTAGATAACTCAAATGTGTACTCAGGTCCTTCCTGAAACAAGACTTGAAACTATGGGAACAGGTTTAATGCCCACAGAGATGGCCTCCAGGCTGATTTTCAACATTTTTTTCATTTCCTATCAAAATCTGGGATTTATTTGCCAGTTTTTCAGTAATTCAGATCCCTGAGTATGTTGGTCTGCTTCTTGATTCTGTAATTGTCCCTCCCTGTGGCCACATTCTTCTGTCTGTAAGTGGCCAGCAGTGCTTCTCTCAAAAGATTTCCAGCTGTCTTACAAGTTTCCATCCATTTTCTTGTTATATCTTCCCTCTCTTCCTAGCTTGTTTTTCTTTTTCTACTTTTCAATTTTCATCTCTCTTTTCCTGTCTGTATCAAACCCTCCTCTGCAAATCCAGTGAATTCCAATTTGTAAACAGAAAAGTGGCATCCATCTAAATCAAATTGGTGTGCAGATATAAACTGAGTTAGTTTTAAAAAGGGAAACCAGTTTACATTTACAAGGGTAAGTCAAACTTATATAAACCTTGATAAAGCACTCACATGCAATGTTGTGGTGTTAATTTAGCTGTGGCGTTTAGAGCTTGCTCTAGCAAGCCAACCCACTCTTCCTTTTTGCTTCCTAAAGCAGAGCAAAAGAATTAACCAGGGAAGTCTATTAACACAGGATCTATCAGTCAGTTCAAAACCTTCAGCTACATCTGGTGCCGATAGAGGTCAGAAAACCCTCTTGGAAAATGTCCCAGCTGCATTACCAACAGAGTTTCAATGAAAAGAAATTGTTCAGTAACGCTGGTCTTCACTTAAATAACAAAGCACGCTGCCTTTCTCGATCTGTTGCACTCTAAAGATGCTATGTGCAATCGTGAGGCTTTGAACTCTGTCTTACTTGGTTGAATTAAACTAGAAGCAGTTACAGCCAGCACTGTTTTAAACAGAGCTGGTTGGGAACTTCCCAGTGGAATATGTTTTCCATCAGAAAATTCTGGTATCTCAAAATGTCTCATAGAATTGGACTTTATAGAATCATAGAATCATAGAATCGCTTTGGTTGGAAAAGACCTTTAAGATCATCGAGTCCAACCGTTAAACCGACTTTGATAGAAGAGATCCTCTCAGGGCCAGGGGGACTTTCTGTTTTTCCCATGGAGGGATGAAGGCATTGGGGAAGTGTGAGGGAACTTTACCCCAACAGCCATTAGTTCAGGCCCTCACTCCGGTTAAGAGCACCTCCTTCACTTCCCAGGTGAGTGCCCTACAACTGGACTACGCACTGCCCCGGGGCACATCTCCTCCTTTCTCTCTGTTCTTGACCAGCAATGTGTCCTGGAACAGAGAAAAAATTCCTGAGGCAAACCCTAGAGAAATACTTTGTATTATTTTGTGACAGAACTTGAATCTGGGTCTGAGAGATCCCTCGCGAGTGTCTTCAGTACCAAGCTACTGTCAGTCTCTCCCTCTTGTCAAATGAATATTTAAATATTTATAAAAAATGGAACAGCTCCATCAGGAGAGACTGAGAGAGACTGAGATCTGCTGCTTTTATTGAAGCTTTGTAGGGACATTTATTGTTAGAGTTTGCTGCCTGATGACATTACGAGATCCTGGCTGTTACAGGATGATGACATAGCAGCATTTTTAGGCGAGCCTTTTTAATCTTTTTTTTTTTTTTCTTTTCCCCCAGCTGTGAGATTGTAATTTTGGGTATGGATTTTGCTGTGATCATTTGCCGCCTTCTTGACCACAAATGTTACTTTGGTCTATGAGGGTCAATCAGCTTGAAGAGCAGCACTCCTGTACAGTGCCCGTACGACTGCTTCCCTGAGCAAGTAATGCTCCTTTCTGTACTATGTGCAGAAAAAATAACTGGTGACATTGAAGATGCTGATCCTGAGGAGGGCTCAGGAAGCACCTTCTCCAGCCACTGCATCAAATGGGCCCTACCCAACATGTCGGAGGCTGGAGTCAGGGCTGCAGCCCGCAGGTCTGCTGTGTTGCTTTTCTGTAGTCCACATGCACACTTCAAACAGAGCTTGAGCCACACAGCAAGGCTCACCTCTTCTCCCACGCTTCTTGCAGGCTGCAGTGGCATGGAAAGAACCAGTGTTGCAGAGGGGACCACAGGGGATAAATTCATTGTGCATCTTTGGGTAATTAGCTCCAGGTTTGGCAGTGATGCTTAGCTGCTGCCTTGGTCTTCACTTATAAATGATTTTAAATGTATGGTTGAGAGCCCAGGTCTGAACACCATTTCAGTACATTTTGAATCAGAGTAAGTAAGGATTTAGTTGTCAACATAAGTTGTGTAGCAAAATCAGAGTTGATGGAAAGGCCCACTAGCAAGACTCACTGAGTGGCCGGGACTCCACATTAACATGTAAGCCACTTACTTCCCCCCTTGTAATTTTAATATATTTGCATTCAATTATTTTTCCTCCAGCTGTCTGCCCTCAGAAACGAATGACTGTTTTAAAATATTTCCAAACATTTACTTTTTATTTATCTTTTTAACATGTTTTGGCAGTCCATGCCTCTAGGCTGCTCTCACAGGCATCCACTCTAAGCAGTGGTCCAGGCAAGTCACCTGGGCGTTCTCCCTGCTTCCTTTACAGGAGCCTCTTCCTGTTCTTCATCCTCTCTCCCTCTGTACCGGGTCCATATATACAGCTTTTTAGCTGGGAAGCAGGTTTCTCAGTTGCCTCCAGTAACATGTGTCTGTTCCCTTACCAAGGCTTAAGGAACCATCTGCT